CTGACTTGCTCGTTCCCTTAAGATGATTTCCATTTTTTGGCACCCCCTTTTTGTAAAATACGAGGTAAACGCTTTCCTTAAGTTGGGTATATGAGATTCATGAAATTCCACATTCCTTTCAGGAAAGTGATGAATGGCACTTCTGTGCTTTTAACTCTTTTATTTATGATATTTCAAGCAATGCTTGGGCAGAGCTGGCAATGCGGTTAAGTGTCTGCTGCTCTGACTTCACTTTGTGAAGCTTGCTGCAAAGGCAGAGAGAAGCTTAGCTGAGTCATTAACACAAGTGAGAACAGGATTGCTGAGGTGCAGGTCCCTCATGCTTCAGGACCAGCAGCTCTTCTCCCCTCTTCTGGGTGGAGACTGAAGGACAGATCAGAGGATGCTGAGGTTGTAATAGGCTGTTTTCTGAGCTTAAAATGGGGATTTCAAGTTTGGTGGTGGAAGCCTGTCAAGTCAGAGTCACTCTGGATGATGCTGTTTGAAAAGGCTTGGTGTTTTGCAATTCGGGAGGAGGGAAGAAGGTTTCTCTGCTTGACACCAGCAAAGACCTGGTGCCTTTGCAGAAGTTGCTTTGCTCATTGGTGAGGGATGATGTGTCAGAGGTCTCCTTAAGGGTTTGGGAGGGGAGCGGATCTTACAGAAGCCGCTTTTCAACTCTTCAAGAATAAGTGGCCGATCCTGTCTGATTTGGGAGGTTTTCCCAGGCTTGGGTGTAGCTGAATAAAACACCCACAAAAGCAAAATGCCTGAGTGTGCAGAACAGGCTGCTTGGTGACCAGCACCTGGCATGACGGCCTGCCTCGGGGCTGTCTGCCAGAGGTGCTGGGGTGTCCCCTGCCTCTGCCCACCCCTGTCTGGGGCCGGGACCCACCTTGGTCTTTTTAGGGCAAGGCGAAGGCCCGTCCCCGCTAGCTCCCAGCCGGGTGCTGCCTCTGGAGCGTGAGAATTCAGCAGTCGGGGCTGGGGACTGTTCTGCCCTTGCTGCCGGAGGCTCCCTGCCAGAGGGAGGAAAAAACGGAAATAAACCGGCCCCCCCAGCCTGTGTGAGCCGCTCTCTGGACACAAGAGCTGGGGCCTTGCCCCACGGTCAGCAGTGCTGCAGAGGAGCTGGATGGGCCCCGTTGTCCCCTCCGTTCCCGGTCCCCTCCCAGGCTCGGGGTCGCTGCTGCCGGGCGCCTGCGCTCCCTCGCCTTTGTGAGCCGCGGCGTCTCGCCGAGCGCTCGCGGGGCTGCTTCGCTGCAGCTCCCGCAGAGAGGAACCGCTGCCGCCACGCTCCCCGGACGA